TTTTTAACTTTAGTGGAATGGGAACAACTGAGCAACTCACTGTGGACTCAGCTCAGGATATGTTGTCAGTTATGCTGAAGGGATTGCACATTTTACATGAATTATTACTCGTTTGTACTTAACAGTACTTAGTAATTTAACAATCCGTGTATACTATTTATTTAGCAGTTATAAAACTTTATTTTCATTTACGAGACAAAAAAATGTTTTCAGATAGGATGTACAATGTGGCCATCATTAATTTACTAAGGCATTATTTATAACATATTCCACACTTTTTGTGCTAGACTTCCTTCTTTTTGGTTTTGTACCCATTGTGAATAAATTTTAAAACATTTATCAGAATGAAACAGTAAACTTGAAAAATGTTTGTCAGGCAACCATGTCAAAATACAAAGAAAAATGATAGCTCTACTGGAATCTGAATGAAAATAATCTGTTACAGCATAGTTTCAATTTTTCTCAACTGGAGCAATGTACATCTTATTGTCAGACGCGACAAGAGGAGGAAAAAACTTTAATATCATATTGCTAATACAGATTCTTGGGAGTCAAAAACCAGAACTGTGTTGAAAAAGGATATGGTAGTTAAACAATAAGCAGTTAACAAACAGCAGCACAGAACATTATCATGTCATTTGGAGTATGTGGGAAGGGGTAACCAAAATCTCACTATACCTAGTAGTATTCTACATTGCCTTGCCTTTTATTTTTCTTTATATAGAAGACATAGATTCCAATGAAAATTTCTGCTATGTAATGTTTCTTTGAACATGTTCTTTAAAGGCTGTGGTATCAAACTGGATGTTAAGTTGAAGGTTGTGATCATAAGGAAGTAAGTATTTGTAGCCACAACTTCATGATGAGTGGATCTAAAATGTGCTTGTGAGCTGTAAGAGAGCATGTAGCTTTCAGTCTTTAAAGACAGTTTAGATGTTGACATCTAAGCTGGTTACCACTCTCTCTTTAAAAGCAGTAAATGAGAGAGTAGAAGTGAAATAAGTGAGTTATCATACAGATTTGTCTTAACCTGACTCTGCAATAGTACTAAAATGTTCATATAATAGCTCTGTTTATTAGAACGAGGCTTTGTTGCTGCTTTTCCTATTAGATATGTTGGGTTTTTTTGATAGAGACCTTTTTTTTTTCAGACACATGTAATGAAATTGAATCCCAGTGACCAGTCCTTAAAATTATCACCACTCCAAAAACAAAAGGTACTGTAACTAATTTTATAGATAATATATAATATATTGTATTA